ATCAGGATGTGTCAAGGTGGATTCATCGACTGAATGTACTGTTTGCATGCAGAAGGAGCCGGGGTCTAGCTTCCTTTGCAAACCTCCAGGGCTCCCTGGCCACAAAGCAGCTGCCTCCCCTTGGCCATGTGGAAAACAGACTTTGACTGATCTCTTTACCTCTGCCACTCCCCCTTGCTACAGCATCCCCTGATCGAGAAGAGCACTCTTTTTGTCCCTGTAGTAAGTATGTGTTCCAGTAGGGCCTAACCACTAGGCTCCCAGAAAAGTAACTTTGCATATGTGAGGTTTAAAAGTATGTGGTTTGGAGGTTGAAGTTAGTGGGTCAACATTGTCACTGACTAAATCTACCACCTTAGCCTTTCCTCCACTTTGCTACAGCCTGTCTGCTGTCTTGTGACCTTCTTTGTCCTGCGGCTATAAAAGTTCATAAATCTCTTCCATGGCAAAGCACATCACTCGTGGTAACCAGAGCCCACGTTCCTGACCGTGATCATGGAGATGAGAAAGAAAGCCGGTTTCTTATTTACTTCAAAGAGTGGTATTTTCACATTGGTAGCAGTGTCTGTGAGGAGGGACCCTGACACAGGCTTTGAGGGCATAGCAGGGAAAGACACCAGGGGAGAGGCAGGCTGAACCATTGGGTCTTCGGCACACGGCAAGGGAGGGCTTCCTTTAGAGCAGTGTAAGATGATCAAAAATTATTCAAGATTAGATAGCTGAGACCGAGGACCAAGACATTGGAGCTATGTGGTCAACAGAGCTCTGACTTCTCTACATACACACACCTCAAGGTGCTGTTAGTAGGATCATAGAAACACCTGCCGCTTTCTATAAATGTTGGCACATGCCAAGTACTTTGAAGAACTCCTTGAAAATCTGGTCTCACATTAACCTCATGTGAGATGGCCAGGGAGCTGATGGAGTATGAAGGAGTGACAACTGAGAACTGGTCTTTGGCTCCCCACAAATGCAAAGGACTCGCTTTAACACGAACCTAACAAGGTATGACGGCACAAGCCTGTAATCTCAGCCTTTGGGAGGCTGGGTGAGGCAAGAGGGTTGCAAGTTTGAGAAACTGAGTCCTGGCAGATGAAAGGGTACAAAGGATATAAGAATCTGGAAGAAGCTAGCATGGGCTAGTGGTATTAAAGCACCCATCCTTCTCTCCCCTAAAGCTAGCCCTCCTCCTACCCTTCTCTCTGTAGTACTAGCCTACTCGAGGGGCCTCAAGGAAAGGGCTTTACCCCTCCACCCATGCTCATTGCATGCCCCCATGGCAATGGCTGTTCTCTGGCCACTCTGTGTCTGGGAAGTTGATGAGAACACAATAATACCAATACCACGTAAGGGTGAAGCCAAGGTTAAGGAATGGGAAAATGGTCGACGTCTCAGAAAATGACCAATAGCCCAAAGCACAAGTTCAAGTGAGCCAGAAAAACTGTCCTGCCTGAGCTAGCCTCAGAACCCGCATCACTCTGTCCTCCGCTGCTGTCACAGATACCTGAGAGATGCAGAGTTCAAGAAGAAAGGGTACTTCAGCTCGCAGACGAGCAGCTGTACATCACAGGCCAAGTGCACGCGAGAGGAAGACTGCTCCCCTCACAGTGTCCAGGAAGTAGAGGGTGGGGAGGAAAGAACTGTAGCCTCAGTATCTCCTTCAGGGGTGTCATTCTAAGAGATTAACCTCTTCCCATTCAGCCCCACCTCCCAGATGCTCCACTGTCTCCCACTTCCACAGGCTGGAGATGAGACCTTGAACTATGGGCCTTTGGAGACATTTACACCCCAACCCAGACTAGAACCCAAGGCCCCCGAGCCCCCTCTTTTTCACACAGTACGTATGGCAGATTACAGTAACTGCACCTAGCCACTCGTTCCCATATGGGACGAGAATACACTTGTCCATGCTAGAGTGTGGCTCACAATTCATTTTGGTGACAGGAATATACTTCTCTGCCCTCCTGACACTGGGCTTTGCTAGAGAGTGGTTTTGCCCTTCGGATTGGCATGTATGCCACTGTATTTATGTCAAGTCTCAACCCCGAGAAGGCCATCCGGGCTTCACTCAGGCTGTACTCTGTAAACACTCCGCACTCCTCAGAAACCTTGTAAAGTGGGTTTCTGTTTACCAGGGAAAGCCATTACTTTTTTATTGGCTCTCACAGCCCTCTAAATTCCACAAAGGGCATCTAGTTCTCTGTGAGCTCACACAAGTCCCCAACAGATCAGAGGTCAATGCTAGTTCTAGTTCCCAGGATGTCCCAGCTAACCTGCCCTCCTCCCTCTGCAACATGACCCCTTATAACTGGCAGGACTCTCCCAACCATTTTTGCTATCTTCTCTGCTCTTATAGCCCTGGCAATTGCCTCTCCTTGCCTTTTGTCTCTGGTCTTCTGTCTGTCCCTGAGAGGTAGCTATGGCAGACTCCCCCAGATGGCTCTGGCTATTCTCTCTCATCTACAATAAAAACCTTCCCCCTAACCATGGCACTGCCTTGATGGTGGCTTCTTCGCTGTGCCCCCCATCGATGATTTTTTTTTTTTTTTGCTTTCTCTCTGTAAGAATGGCATGTTTCAGATGGGTACTGCCCTTGAATCTGTGCCCTGGTAGGAAAAGACACTTGGCACAGGATACTAGGCAACTGCTGGCAAGAAATGTGAGCTTAAAGACTACATTTACCCTTCTGAGATGTGAGAGTTACTGCAGCGTAATCTCACACAAGCTAAGCAGTGTGCTAGGGTCACAGACTCGGTGCTGGTACATAAGCAAAGCAGACAGAGAGGCTGGTGTGTATGAACACATGAACGGCAGGGCTACCACAGGCTGGACAGGCTCAGCCAAAGGGCAGGTTCTAGAACTAAGCTTTCCTATGGCTGAAGTTTTAAAAGCTGTTTACCAAACTAGCAGAGATTGTGCTTTTTAATTTTTTTTGAACATTTATCTATTTACCAAAGGGTGAGAGGGAGTGTGTGTGCCACAGCACAGATGTGAAAGTAAAAAGACCACTTGTGGGAGCCAGTTCTCTTCATCCACCATGTGGGTTCTAGGGATCAAATTCAGGTGTTGGGATCAATGGCAAGTTCCTTTATCACCTGTGGACTCATCTCACCAGCCCAGAGGTGATTTAATAATAAAACTGACTAATCTTTATCACCCCAAAACCTTAAGGTTATGAAGCATGCAGCTAAAATAGGTGGAATAGTTTGACATTTTTCATAATCATTTTACAGATATTTAGGGGAAAATCGTTACTTTGGAAGGAATAATCACCTCGATGCTGGATCTGGCTTTTCTGAGGCTTGGACAGCTACAGAATAAATTATTTTATTTTAAAAGTTCTCTCTAAAAAAAATTCTTTTGAGCCATGCACACCTTTAACCCCATCAGAGGCAGAGGCAGGTGGATCTCTGTGAGTTCGAGGTCAGCCTGGTCTACAAAGTCCAGGATAGCCAAGGCTACACAGAGAAACTCTGTTTCGGGGAAAAAAAAAATCTTTTGATCTCTTAACATCCCAAACGTCTCCAAAACTGATAAAATACATTCATATAGGTATAGATGACATAGATATAGATTTAGATATGGATATATCGCTACCTCCATGTGGATACGGGACACAGACTGATGACGAGGGAGATGATCACAGGCTCCTTATAGGGTCACACATCACAGCAGTTCCCACGCAGAATCATGGATTTCCTATCATGGAGCTGACTGCAGCGCTTATGGTTATGTTTTCTGAGGGAAGTTTGAACCTTTTTTTTCTTTTTTTAAATTTTTATTAATTACAGTTTATCCACTCTGTGTCCCCCCTGTACCTCCCTCTCTCCTCCCCTCCCAACCCCACCCTTCCTCTTCCCCATCCTTGTCCCTCTCCCAGTCCACTGAAAAGGGAGGTTCTCCTTCCCTTCCCTCTGACCCTAGTCTATCAGGTCTCATCAGGAGTGGTGCATTGTCTTCCTCTGTGTCCTGGTAAGGCTGCTCCCTCCTCAGAGAGAAATGATCAAAAGGCAGGCCAATCAGTTCATGTCAGAGACAATCCCTGTCCCCATTACTATGGAGGCCACTTGGGCACTGAACTGCCATAGGCTACCTCTGTGCAGGGGTTCCAGACCATCTCCATGAGTGGTCCTTGGCCGGAGTATCAGTTTCAGAAAAGACCCCTGTGCCCAGACTTTTAGATCTGTCGCTGTCTTTGTGGAGCTCCTGTCCTCTCCAGGTCTTACTATCTCCCACTTCTTTCTTATTATTCCCTGTACTCTGCCCAAAGTTTGGCTATGAGTCTCAACATCTGCCTCGATACCCTGCAGGGTAGAACCTTTCAGAGGCCCTCTGTGGTAGGCTCCTGGCCTGTTTGCTGTTTTCTCCCCCCTCTTATGTCCATCCTCTTTGCCTGTCTGAATGGGGATTGAGCATCTTAGCCAGAGTCCTCCTTCCTGATTAGCTTCTTTAGGTGTATATATTTTAGTATGTTTTTCCTATATTATATGTCTAGTATCCACTATGAGTGAGTATATACCCTGTGTGTCTTTCTGCTTCTGGGATACCTCACTCAGGATGATCTTTTCTAGTTCCTATCATTTACCTGCAAATTTTATGATTTCTTTGTTTTTTATCACTGAGTAATATTCCATTGTGTAGATGTACCACAATTTCTGTATCCATTCCTCAACTGAGGACATCTGGGCTGTTCCCAACTTCTGGCTTTTACAAATAATAGGGCTGGAGAGATGGCTCAGCCATTAAAGGCTAGGCTCACAACCAAAAATATAAGTTTGAACTCTAAGAGATAATAAGAAAGCTGTCACCTGCTCTTAATCAACTCTAAGAGAAAGTTGCATAATCCCTGGAATCTGGGGAGGGGGAATCCCCATTCCTCTCTTAGTAACAGGTCTGCAAGGAAGTACCAGCCCTGGGAAAGGACAGGAGACTTAGATCAGACTCCAAGGCAGACTCGGGTCTCCATGGTCAGCTAATAACGACACAAGTGGCTTTTCTTCTCTTTTAAAATCCTTTATTCACAAATTGATTACTCAGTAGAAAATACACACTGGGTGGGTTCACAATGCAACATGAATCTTCCACCTTCCTTTTCCAGCTTAAATACTGCAATAATAGTATACTCTATGCCACCTGAGCCTTTTGTGCCTTTAGGAAAGGGACTGTTTGGAATTCTGTATTAGTCTCAAGTTCTGTGGGGGGAAAATGAGGCAGACGAAGTGACATCTAGAAACACTGACTACATTTTTAAAAAACTGTACATAATTTGACTTTTCTTGCTTTAATTCTCCATATGTCTACAGGAAAGTATGCAATGAAGTTCAACAGATTACTGTTAGTAAAAACCTATGATGTCACATTAATGGTACTTTCAGAGTTAAACTGATCAGTGGAGTAAGTAAAGCAAAGTTCAAATGTGAAAAGTGATTCACTATATAATACTGAAACCACCATAACCTTTAAACTTGGGAAATTGAAATAACACTAAATAATATTTGATAACTCCCAAACACCACATCGTCAAGTATCCTGTGACGGAAAGCAATATAAATGAAATTTTCTTCAGAATAACTTCAGTGAAGCTTTTTACAAGAAATATATATGTTAATAATAACTGCCTAAGATGCACACTGAACCATTATGTGACTAGACTATCTAATAATTACAACCCCGCACTGTTTTGCTGCTGTGGGCTAGTTAGCTTTTCTTTCAGGAAAATCTTAAGACATTCTAATCTAACACCCAGGTCACCCAGACTGTTTGTTCCTTTGATTTTATTAGAAAAACCATTTGTTTAACTTTGCTTTATGTTTAACTTCTCTATCACCTTCAAAGGATCCGGGTTAAATTTTATTAAAACAAATCACTAGTCAGCTTAGGCCTTGGAGCTCCAGGAGTTTCGGTTCAGGCAAGCCAGCACACCAAACTTCCAGAGTTCTCCACAGCCCTCACTCTGACCCTTTCTACAGAGCGTCCCCTCCCCTGGATGTATGGAGCACGGGCTTAATAATGGCAGGTGGTGTTCCTCAGCATCACCTGCCAAAATGTGATGATCTCCTTGGAAGAAAAGCCGTGGGCTGCAATCACGCGTCTGAGCTGACACACATCCAGGTGTATTCTGTACAGAAAGAAAAGGTTGGTGTCTTCTGGAATATGAATGTCCACTTTTAACAAGTTCAGACAGATCCCAACATAAACATCTTCAAACTTGATAGGCTTCACGTGACTCATCATTTCATAGATCCTCGGCACTAGATCACTGGACATAATGTAACCCAGCCCACTACAGTAGGGGGGGAACACCTTGAAAGGGTACTCCTTGTAGGAAATATGGTTTTTCTGGAAAAATCCTCTATAGGAATAGTTATCAATTAGAGGATAACCCGTGAAAAACTTCTCCGTGTGGTTTACATTTAAAAGATACTTGACTAAATTGCCAGTGTTTATGAAAACATCAGTGTCTGTTTTCATGACATACTTGGCATTGGGGCAAAATTCAATGACCCACCTGAAGGCCATGATGGTTTTCAAGGTCAAGTTATTATATGTGTCTAAAAAATCTTGCCGTATAATATCGCCATAGAGAAGGTGTTCGTCCTCTAAGGACAGTGCCAACATTTTCTCTTCCATTTCGGGCTGCTGGCCCAATAGGAAAAAGGTAAGAACCTCATATCCCCACCAGGACTTTTTTTCACCCCAAGTAACTCTAATGGCTTGTCTGGCCTTCACATCGGAGGGGCGCGAGGTCACGAGGATGACCAGGAACGGGTTCTGATGAGAGCAGTTGGAATGCTCTCGGAGTGTGAAGCGGAAGTCCTGTCTGTAAATGGGCTCGTACTCGTAGAAGTACATCCAGTTCACACGCTCGATCACGTTGTAGTGGGGAAGGCTGAGGTACCACATCAGCAGGAAGCTCAGCAGAGACAGCAGCAGGAGGCTCCATTTGAGGGACCTCAGGGACATCCTATTGGGAAGGGCAGTCAAGACAGCCGGGGCCATCCACAGCAGCCGAGGAGTACGCAAGGCACAGCTTCTACAAGATGGAGCAAAGCTTGGGTGAGCGTCCTCCACCCCAACACACACATCAGTTGACGTCAGCTCGTCAAGAAACAACAGGAAAAGAAAGCTCCCACGCAAAGGTAGACGGCCTGACCGAAGCCTGCCTGACTGCATTAACCCCCACAAATGAGCCACCATCCAGAGGCGCACACAGACACCGAGGTTAAAACAGACCCAAGAGCCAGGCGTGGTGGCTCATGCCTGTGATCCCAGCACTTGGGAGGCAGAGGCAGGCTGATCTCTGTGAGTTCAAGGCTAGCCTGGTCTACAAAGTGAGTCCAGAATAGTTAAGCCTACATAGAGAAACCCTGTCTTGAAAACAACAACAACAACAACAACAAAAGCAGACCCAGGAATCATTTTCAAACAACACCTATCATTCCACACAAATAACTGTAATCCCAGCTACTTGGGAAGATGCGGCAAGAAGGTTACAAGTTCAAGGCCAGCCTAAGTGACTTAGAGAGTCCCTGTCTCAAAATTAAAAGTAAAAAGAAAGATGGAAGCTAAAAATATTCCAAAAACACATAAGAACATGAAATATTTGTCTTTCTGTGCTTGGCTCTTTTTACTCCATTTATGTTGCTTCAAGTGCCAGAATTCTAACCTTTCACAGCTGAATAATACTCCATCTTGTGGACTACCACATTGTTTTTACCCAACACTGGAGTCTCCAGTGACTCCATATCTTGGCTACTATACTTACTTATTAGTAAGCAGGTCTCACTTGTCTTTTGAAGGATTTCTAGACTGTGTCCAACTCAAGCAACACCACTGCTACAAATTTATCCTAAAAAAGAAAAAATCAGACAACTGTGGAGGTCCTTCATAATACAAAAAAACACGACTTAAAAGTCCATCATTAGGAAACCTTTGAAGTGAAATTACAGCTGTCAGCCAACAGGAAATCTTCACTCCTTACTTGCAGTTTGGCTTCCCAAACTTCGCTCACGTCACTGACTAAAATGCGGAGCGGTGTCCATGATGTCCGCTTCCTTCGGAAAGGTGAATGGCAACCACCTACTGTTCTATACGCACTTTGCAGAGCAAGGTATCCGAAAGGATGTGTTCCACCAAGGCAATGGTCCGTATCGTCGGATGTACGTGCATTGCTGTGGATTTCCTGTGTTGTCTTCGTAAATAAAAACAAACCCCGAAAACCTGGAATTTGGGCCTCTATGGCGCTGCAATCCACTAAGTACAGGCAGAAGCCAGAGTGACACCCTGCCCTGGCTTTCCCCCAGGGGTGTGGCCACATAGAACTCATGGCATTTCTCTCAGGTAACAGTCTCTGTTATTTCAGTGTGTGTCATTTCAACCAGGGACCGCTGTGAGAAGCCCATTTGGATACACACAACCTGCAGTGTGGATATCAAGCACTCACCATCCTCCACACCTTGCCGACTCGGGGTTTACTCTACCTAGTTTATACGTGGATTTTAGAGACGTCACAAGGAACACAAGGAATATTTTCAAAAGTTCCAGGGGTCACAGAGATCCACCTGCATCTGCCTCTCACACAGACAAGTACACACACACACACACACACACACACACACACACACACACACACTGAAATACCAGGTAAACATACACAGTGGTGGGCTGGGGTGATGACGCAGTTGGTTAAATGCTTGCCATGCAAGACCCACGTTGAGATTTCCAGCGCTCACATAAATGCCAGGCACGGTGACACGTGTCTGTGACCACACTGGGGCGGGAGTGGCTAGGTAAAGACAAGTGGGTCCCTGGAGCTTGCAGCCACCGGGTCTAACCAAATCGGTGAGCTCTAAGTTCAGTGCGAGAGCCCGTCTCAAAAGATGTGGACAGAAACTGCGGGAAAGCCCTGATGCTGACCTCTAGTCTCCACGCTTGCATGTACACACAAACACACACGCCTGCCTTCAAAAACATTACAAATGAAAAACTCTACAGACTTTGTTCAGCAGGAATAAGGATAACCATAGTACCCTGCTTTAAAACATGAGTGTGTGTATGTGAGTGTGAGTGTATACATATGGATATATATGAGTGGATCCACACACACACATGGATGGGACAAGTGACACAGCACTTTGGCAGAGGACCCAGGTTTGGTTCCCACTACCCCCATGTGGCTCACAACCATCTCTAACTCCAGCTCAGACCACTTGATGTCCTCTTCTGGTCTCCGCGCACAGACTGTGCCCGTGTTGGTGTACACTTTCATACTTGCAAGCAAACACTTAACGTACCTACGATAAAAACACTGAATACATTTACAATAGAAGTTGTACACACACCCCTTCAGTGAGACAAATAAAATAAACCTTGAGCACAAGCAGTAGAAGAATAGATATAGAACCTTCTGAGTTGAATGACAGAAAAAAAAAAAAAGCAAGCAAGGCAAGCCACCTGTTAAAGGGAGGATGACACAGACAGGGAACACAGAGAAAACATGCGGCAAATGGAAAACACAAAAGACCATCAGCGGTGACCATCAGCATACATCAGAATGGGATGCTGGCTCACCTTAACCACAGGGCTTTCACGGCTTAGCCTAGATTTCTGCCGTATGTTACTTACAGGGCTCACACCTAAAACAAAACACAAAATGTTTAAAAATTAAGAAACAGGAATGCATGTACCAGGAAAATGCCAATCAACCAACTAGGACCATAGTCTATAGCTAACCATTCATGCCATATACTTTAAGTGAGCAGCATTTAAGAGAAACAAAGAATATTTTGTTGCTAATTGCTATTTGAAAGATCTCTTTATCCACTGTGTGTGTGTGTGTGTGTGTGTGTGTGTGTGTGTGCATGTGTGGATATGATTGCATGCATGTGGGTAAGTGTGTGAAGGCCAGAGTTCAAGAAAAAGCACCATAACTTAAAAATCGTAAAGCAACATCACAAAAATAAGCATCAGTGTGGGGAGCCAGGCCCACCCAAGACTTTCTCCGAGGTCCTGATGAGAGGGAAAGGGAACCTGAGTTCTGTGTCCTTGTGCAGGACGTGGCAAGGCTGATCTAGGGCTGGAGCTCGTGCCTCTGAAGAAGTCAAGGTTGCAGCTTCTGGGAACCCAGCTCTTCCCCAGAGCTGTGGCTATCAGTCCTTGGAGAGCTGTCTCAAGTATTCACATTCTCTCTGCCAGCGCTGTCTACCTCAGCTCTCTGCGGACCTTGCCATTGCTCCTCCTGCAGATAGTATGTATGATATAAGATGCTGTGCTTCTTAATAAACTTGCTTGGGCCAGGTGTGGTGGCACAGCCTTCAATCCCAGCACTCCTGAGGCACAGGCACATGGATCTCTGAGTCTGAGGCTAGCCTCATCTACAGACTGAGTTCCAGGACTGCCCAGGGGTACACAGAGAAGCACTAACTTGAAAAACAAAAGAAAAAAAAAAACCAACAAAACTTGTTTGGAATAAGTCATCAGCTTATACAAGGCCTCCTGTTCCTGGTTTTCGTTTATTTCTCCATTTCTCTATGTCTCGTCCTTGTTCCTCCTGCTCAACATCTCACCATTTGGGACCCTTATTCCTGCTGGTTCAGGACATTACACTATAGGGAGCAAAGCCTGAAACATATTTATAAATCCAAGCCTGCGGCACCGAGCTTCCCGAGTGCTAGGGTGACAAGTATGTATCGCCACTCTGGTCTTCAAGATTGTCCCTGTATCGCTCTAAATACTATGATCTCGACAGTTTGTCTCCACCAAAACCCACCTTGGGGTTTGGTCCCCAGTGTAATGGGGCCTAAGAGGAATTAATATGGTTCCTAATGAAATGAGCTGGTCATCTCTGCACAGCTCTTACAAAGCGGGCCTGGCAGCTCCCCTCGGCCCCTCTGCCCACGTGCTCCTGTACCCAGCCCGTGTCCTTCCACTTTGTGTGGGACAGCATACAGCCCCTCAAGAAGCGCGCACATACTGACACCAGGCCCTCTGCTTTCTAGACCCGCGAGCTAAACACCGCCTAGCCGCGGACTTGTTCTAGCAACAGAAAACAGCCAATGGCACTAAGAGGCATTTCCGGCAATGGAAATTAAGGATGAGGGTTGCAGGTCAGGCCAGTGATCTTTTTGAAATCTTAAAATTACGTTTGTTTCTTCTGTTTATACACGCATGCTTGGGAATTACAGAACAACTTCCAGCAGCTGGTGGAGAAGTGGGTCCTGGGGACTGAGCTCACGTCATCAGGCTTGGTGACAAATGCCTTTACACACTGAGCTACCCACCGGCCCAGGAATCTTTTGCTTTTTTTTTTTTTTTTTTTTTTTGAGAATGTGAGTACTGTGTTTACATCATTTCCACCCCTCTCTCTCCCCTCCACTGCCCCCATGTGCTTCTCGCTCCCTCCCAAACTGACCTCTTTTATTATATATGTGTATAGTGGTATACGTATACATACACACATGTATGTTTGTTAAGTCTATTTAAGTGTTGCTTGTTTGTATATGTATGTGACTGGATAATCTCTCAGGTGGCTTGTCCCTGGAGAAGACTGATTCTCTTAGCAGCAATTAATCTATAGCTCCTCATATAGCGGTGGGGCCTATATGAGGCCTATGTTGGCATGTTAGCTGGTGTTGGCAGTATTTGGGAGATAGAAGCAGGAGGGCTAAGAGTTTGAGACAATCCTCAGGTACATAGTGAATACAAGGCCTTGAATTAGACTGGGCCTGGACCTTGAATTAGACTGGGGTGAAACCCTGTCTAAACAATTCTCCCCTTGAAAATAAAACCAAAAAACAGCCCTCCCCCTAAAGGAAGATATGTCTGTACTTCTGTATTAAACACGCACAGATTTATTTTCTGTCATTATTCCCTAAGAAATATTGATAAAAAGCTACTTATCTATATTTTAGAATACTGCATTGTTTTTTAATTTAGAGAATACACACACTGTATGCAAATATTACCCACCGTACATAAGAATTTGAGTGTGATATTACCTTGGAGCCCACAGGAGTCCAAGATCATCCTTTGCACGGTGAGCAACCACTCTACTTGTCTATAAGACTGTATCAAACATGCATTAAAAAGAAAAAAAAGACAAACCTGACACTAGATTACATATTGTGCTGGCTTTATGTCAACTTGAACCAAGCTGTAGTCATCTCAGAGGGAATAACCTCAATTGAGAAACCACCCACTTAAGACTGGGCTGTGGGTAAGCTGGTAGGGCATTTTCCAAATTTGTGACTCATGTGAGAAGACCCAGCTCATTGTGGGTGGCACCACCTCGGCCTGGTGGCCCTGCATGCTCTAAGAACGCAGGTTAAACAAGCCGAAAAGCAGCACTTCTCTATGATATCAGCTCCTGTCTCCAGGGCTGGGTTTGAGTTCCTACTTCCCTCAGTGAACTGTGATTCAGTATTTGGACACCAAATGAACACACCCTTTCCTCCTCAAGTCACTTTTGGTCCTGCTGTTTCATCACAGAAATAGTTTCACTACTTGGCAATCCTTAAACACCCAATACAAGCTACATTCTTTACCTACAACACAGTTCTAGTAACTACAAAAATGTAACATGAAAAACAGATTTGAAAAAAATCTCCCTAGGGGATGGAGACACAGCTCAGTAGTAAAAAGCTTGCCTTGCACAGGAACTCCACAAGGAGAGCAACAGAACCAAAAAATCTGAGCACAGGGGTCTTTTCTGAGACTGATACTCCAACCAAGGACTGTGCATGGAGATAACCTAGAACCCCTGCACAGATGTAGCCCATGGCAGTTCAGTGTCCAAGTGGGTTCCATAGTAATGGAAACAGGGACTGTCTCTGATATGAACTGATTGGCCTGCTCTTTGATCACCTCCCCCTGAGGGGAGAGCAGCCTAACCAGGCCACAGAAGGAAGACAATGCAGCCACTCCTGATGAGAATTAACAGACTAGGATCAGAAGGAAGGAAAAGAAGACCTCCCCTATCAGTGGACTTGGGGAAGGGCATGTGTGCAGAGTGGGGAGGAAGGGAGGAATTGGGACAGGAGAAGGGAGGGAACCATAGGGGAGATACAAACTGAATAAAGTGTAATTAATAAAGAATTTTTTTAAAAAAAAGCTTGCCTGGCATGTATGATTGCTGGGCTCAACTTCCAGCAAAACACACACATACAGACACACTTTTAGGAACTCAAAATCCTTACACATACACCCCACAAACTTAAGAGTCTCAGTCACATTGTAAATTTTTTTTTTTAATCCATAACTGAGGACTTCAACAATTTAGTAATTCACCAACTCTTAATCTGAAAAATATTTCCTGGTGTGGGGATAACAATTAGTTTTTTTCTTTCCTGTTTTAAAGAATGATGTGTTGCTTAAGGTAAACAAATAACTCTAAATGATAAGGAAATAGTCTTCTTTATGGAAAAATTGAAGTTATAAATATAGTTGAAATGACCTAATTACAAAACTACCATCTTGCAACATCTCACAAAATTGATTCAAGTGCTGATTATTAAACAATATTTGATCATCAGAGGAAAGGCTGACTGGGGGAGCGGGCATGTGGTGCCAAAGATTATCACAAAAGTTTCTTTTTGGTGCAAGTGCTAAAGTCATATAAAGCTTGTGGTGGGCAGTGAGGGTGAAGACGTCATGGCTTTAACCGGACTGTCTGTGGTAACCCTATAAGTGACAGGAAAGCACCTTATGGTCTCTTTATGAGCGAAGGTGTTCAGTGTTATTTCTGACGCAGCCTGGCCAAAATTCTGTAACAGTAGTCTGATGGGTGTTACAAGAACTCAGATGACAGGACAAGCTAAGGAACACCACATGGAAACAATCATGCAATGGTGAGTCTATGAGACAACCAGCATGGTCTCAGAGTGCGGAGAGAGAGAGTAAGGACACAGAATTGTGATGTGTGGTTCTGGTTTGGGACCGGGAAAAATCTGAAGGCAATCTAGGCATGAGGTTATCAAGGGGTCTAATTCTTTTAAAGCATGATAATATCAAGTAGGGCAAAAGGAAATGTCCTTCAATGAGGACAATGTACTAACAGCCATGTGACAGGATATTACTCAGCTATAAAGTGGAGTGTTACTACAAACATTAGCTGACAGAGTTCTTGACATGCATGAAACTAAAAAATGCTAACTAAAAGAAGCCAGACACTAAAGGCCACATACTCTATTACTGCATTGCATGTCTTAGTTAGGGTTTCTATTGCTGCAATGAAAAGCAGGACCAAAGAGCAAGTTGGAGAAAAGGATTTATTTGGCCTATAATTCCATATTGCTTTTCATCTTGAAAGGAAGTCAGCACAGGAATGCAAACAGGACAGGATCCTGGAGACAGAAGCTGATGCAGAGGCCAGGAGGGGTGGTGCTTACTGGCTTGATTCCTCTGGCTTGCTTGGCCTGCTCTCCTACAGAACCCAGGACCACCAGCCGAAGAATGGAAACATCCACAATGGTCCCTTCCTCCATCAATAGCTAATTAAGAAAATTACAGCCATATCTCATGAAGGCATTTTCTCTGTTAAGGTAACCTCCATTGAGATAAGACTAGCCAGCACAGTAACAGCTGGGTATGTAGCCAGACACTAACACGAAAAGGGCCTGAGGGAATAGAGGGATGATGA